AGTATGATGTGCAATGCTGATTCCAATTCAATGCATAATTATTCATTTAAGACAATACTGAATAAATTAGTTACAAATGGATAAACCACCCATGGTAGAACATCCAGAACAAGTATTTTAATCATTTGATATCATATTATTCTACTTTCTCATGATACCAAAATATTGTTGAACATCCATTTTTGTACTTGATTATTTTCATTAAGCTGGTTCCATCCTTCTTTTTGAGTTGTAATCTTTGGTTAGTTTATAAAATTATTATTCACAGTGTAAAATGATGTCAGAATAAGATAGGCTGCAATTCTTATGAAAATACAGAATGTCAAGTATACATAAGATCAAATAATTGAGCTGTTGAACTGTTCTCTTTCTGATTTGGGTACCAGTATATTAACAATGCAGCATATAGATTGTAAGTTAAAATGGAAAGAATCAGATAAACTTAATGTGTGCCACATGGGTTTGTTTTTGAATATGTACAGTAAAGAAATACTTTCAGAAGATCTGAGATGGATTCATATGGAAAAATCAACTGTACTATGTGACACTAAGTGAGTCAAATGCTTCCTGGAAGTTTGATTCTAGAAGAAGACCTATGGTACATTCTTTGTTCACCCTATGTGTGTGGCTGTGGTAAATCTTGAACATGTCCTGGAGAATGTGGTGGTACTACTTAGTTGAACAATATGCATAATATAGGCACTATGTATGGGTGGTATAAGGCTGAATCTGAAGCAGATCTCCAAACCATCAATTTCTACATTAAAAAAAAATTATATAATAGTATAATATAAGGTGATGTCATATAATAACATGGCATCTGTATAATTGATCAGCATGACTGTAAAGGAAATTATTTCTATTCTTAATGCTACTAGGATCAGAGGGAAGAAAGAAGTCCTCAGTTGTTATTTGGAAGTAGTCAAATTATGCCCAGAGCACTTCCATACAAAAATATCCTCCAGCTATAAATGACAGCGGCATTACATGGCTGAGGAAAGATAATAAAGCTAGTCAACTACTAAGCTACATGTCTGTAGCTTTAGTACAAACAAAAAAAGCAGTTACCAATATATCAAAATTATAAGGCAGGAGGCAGTTTTGCATTTGAACAGTTTGCTACTAAAAATGCAACAATCATGCAGTCCTAAGAATGGGTTAAGTTCAGAAGATGATGAGATGATGTAGTGAAGTGTAAATGATATACTGTATGTAAGGATTGTGTTCTATTTTACTTAGTAAGGTATTGTGCATGTGATTGGTACAGAATTCATGTTATTTGCGATGGTCTTATTAGTTTCATCATTTGTTGGGACATAAGAGAATGAATGAAAGAAGCTCTCTCTGAGTTATTCATTGCTCAAGCTAACAATTACCTTGGGGTTTGCAATGAACCTTGAACGAAGTGCTCTGTCTGGACTGTACACTAGGAAAGTTTGTCACAGCCTGTGTTACATATTAAGAGATGCTGAGTGCTGGATAATGGGAAAGCAAAACACAGTGAACACAGCAAATATAGTACAGGCTATCCTCTTAGTGTTGTAACTTGCAATGAAAATAACTTTCACAAGTGAAAGTAAACGGATATCTTACAAACTTTGCTCTGCTGCACAGCTTTGACAACTGAATCATAATTTTTCATGTAATTGCTGGCCTCTCAGTCCTTCACTGTAAATGGAGTAAATTTAATCAATTGCATCTTAGAAATAAAAATGCAGTGATTGCAACATTGCACTAATAATAAGTAAAAAGTAAATTTTAATGAAGTTTATTATGATAACTTTTATTTTGAAAGCAAATACCATTTACGTAAGTTGAAATACAATTTATACATGGAATTAGAAACAGTCTGTGAGCACAGAAGCACTTGGAGATTCTCCTAAATATCTCTACACATGCTGATTATCTCAGTTACATGATATTATTTCCCTCTTTATACATCCATGAAATCCCTGCTCTCTATTTTTCTCACAATCAACTATTTCTTTTTGTTCCTCTGACTCTCAGCAGGGCTCCCCTCTGTCTTCCAGAGTCTTTGACATCTTAGCACTTATCGTGCTGCACCTTTTATTTCTCTCAAATTTCTTGCATAAAACTTCTGAAAGCTTATCTGGTGCTTTTGGATGTTTATTTGAAATTTTTGGATCAGTAGTATTTTCCAAATGAACTCACCAGGAAAAAAAATAAGTGTCAAATAGCGCTCCAATATTCTCCCCCAGCTTTTATTAGAGTCTGTTCTGTTTGGAAGTTAATTCTGCTCTGCAGTATCAAAGAGCAATTGGCAGAGAAGGGGTTATTTATTTATTTATTTATTTATTTATTTATTTGAAGTAGCTTTTCTTAATCATCTTGGAGGCTGTCCAGAACACTTCTTATAGAGCCACAAACACAAATCACCCAGTTCACTTTACGGCCATGTAGCTGTATATCTAGAAGGCTGCATCTTTAGGAAGAGAAATGAAAATGTGCAAATGGAATTCTGTATCAGTAGATAAACTAGAGAAAATGTATGGAGCATTAAGAAAGAAATTCCACATTTTTTCTTAAGATCAAAATAAATACAGAAAAGACTACCCTACATATTCACTTCCCCCT